CTCCCATCATGCATCTGTGCCTGGTGGCAGCACCAGCGTGGGGCTGACGGGGCTCGGTTCCAGAGGAGGGACAGTGTCCAGAGAGTGTGAGGAGCCTGGCTGGGCCTAACGAGGTGATTAAAACGATAAGGGGAAGCACGGGTGAGTTGGCGTGGCCTGCAGCCACCGTGCACACTCACGTGCACACGCAGGGAAGGAGACACTAGACCAGACTGAGAGACTGAGAGAGAGAGTGAGAGAGAGTGAGAGAGAGTGAGGGAGAGTGAGAGAGTGCCAGAAGGACCACATTCAGTAATGTGTGAGTCTGTGTCCTTGGGCTCCTGCTGTCAGGAAGTCTCTGTCTCTTGGTCCTGACATGTCTTCAATACCCCCTGCTGTGAGTCTCACAGCGGACATGCGCACACACAGACACACACACAGACAGACAGACAGACAGACAGCCCTAATTGCTCCACAGACATGGACACTGATGGTCTTACGGTCTGTGGTCCGTGGTCTGTGGTCCGTGGTCTTCTGGTCCAGACTCTTCCTCAGCCAAAGTCGTGAAGACTCCCTCCAAGGCTGTTTTGTTGCTCTCTGCTGCAGCTGATGTACAGACGGTGTAGACAGAGGAGAAAGGGGGGGGGGGGGGTGACTGCAGCTCGGTGTCTCACAGAGATCCTTTCCTGAGGCCACAGAGGTCAAAGTTCAAATCTGAAGTTAAGAGGATGGGAGGAGTTCAGATGATATTGAAATAACGTGGGATGAGACTTGAAGAGTGAAGTGAAGTGGACTCAATCTGATGAGAGAGAAAACGATATATACATAATCTGATGAGATTAAATGAGATGGCAGGAGATTCCTTTGAGAATAAGTGGGTATAGACATGAAGTTAAAAATGTTGTCACATGAGATGAGATTAAATGATGAGTTTGAACATGAGAAGGTCGTCCAAAACAAAGATCAGGTGGAATAAGATTAAACTGGGTCAAATAAAATAATCTCACATTCAGCCTGGGTTCCATGACACTGGATGTCCAAACAGTTTTTGGAGAAGAGATGAGGTGTAAATACAAAGTCCTAAAAATACAATCAAACGAGACACGACGACAGCAGAAGAAAGTGAACCAGAACTGGATCAGAACGAGATGAGATTTTATGATCAGAGTTACAACAGGGTGAGACTGTGCTGTGACCCCGCAGGATGGGCTCAGGTCTATTTTGGTGAGGTTTTAGTTTAGTTTGGTGGAGACACCTTGTTACGGCTCTTCCTGTTATCATCCAGACTGAGTCAGAGGCGGAGGAACAGAGAACGTCGCTGATTTACGATCATGATGATTGCTTTTAGGGGCTTATATCAACCATGCAGCTGGGGCCTATAATATCGCACCGGAAATGGGATGCAAATTCCAAACTTTCAACTTGAGTTACAGGCTGAAGAAAGGAGAGAGGAGAAGAGAAGAAAAGTACGGGCTTTTTTGTTCCGGCTGGTTTTAAAGAGCAGAGGTGTTGTCACTCTGACGTGACGTCTGTAATGGAGTTATTTCTCTAATCAGTGTGCAGAGGCTGCAGCTGTCTGAGACGCTTGTTGCAACAAAGGAACACCTTGAACCTGTGTGACATATTCTCGCCTGTCAGCCGTCACACACACACACACACACACCTTGCAAACACAAAGACGCCCACCGCACACACACATACACAAACACTCTGGGGTTTGAAGATTCCCAGGGAGCAGTGGGACGGAGCTGTGAAATGGGAAGGATTAGTCACTTTGTCAGGAGATGTATGAGGCTTCTCTCAGGTGGACGACAAGCCACGGGGGGCGTCAGTGTGTGAGGCAGAGGGAAGAGATGAAGAGGGAGGACGACGGCGGAGAAATTAGAGGTCTGATAGAGGAGGGCAGACATGGAGGAGACGGATGAGAGGGAGTCAAAATGAAGACGAAGAGTGGCCAGGAAATGTTGTTCGCACAGAAACCATAGAAAAAAAAAAGAAACAACTGATGATCCAGAGACTCCCAATCCCAATTATGACTTTATTCCATTTGAATATGAGGCCAGAAAAGAACAAACGCTGCTTTAGTTTTCTTAGAAAATGTACAGTCGACTTCTGGCGCTGACCAAAATGACACAATGTCTACAGAAATATGGGAAAGCAGAAGCAGAAAAGTCAGTTTGTAAAAGTAAAAACTGTTCCAGAATATCACACCTACATGTCCGGCTGCTACTGTCCGCTGCTTTATTTAAAGGAGTGTGTGTGTGTGTGTGTGTGTGTGTGTGTGTTCAAGCCTGAACAGGAGGTGTGGGATCCAGGAAAGCTGGAGGTCCCATGTGAGAATGTGGCCGTCCTCGGAGCTGCCGCGGCAGGCCTCGACACCATCTGTGCGCCCAGCAGGACGCGGGGCGCGCTCTGAGCCACCCAGACACATATGGACATACAAAGGTGTGCTCTCTCTCTCTCTCTCTCTCTCTCTCCCATGGGCTTCCAGTCACATGTTCACTTGAACCAGAGGGAATCACAGAGAACAGCCAGATCCTTCATCCAGAGGAAGATGATGAGAGTGTTGACTCAACAGGACCATGACAACATCACCGTGACATCATACGTGATGACTTCAACCAATTACTGTAACGAGTCATTCACAGTGGACCCCCCCCCACACACACACGACAATCAACACCAGACCCAACATGAGCATCAACCTCAGTGACCTCTCCTTCTCTCCTGCAGGAAGTTCCTGCACCGTCCTCACAAATCTGCTCTTTATTCCTTTCTTTTTTTATCTCACCTGCTGAGCTCAGACCTACATTCTCAGTCCTTGCAGCCGCTCCCTCCTGACCGCTGACCTCCAGCTCCTCCTGAAGCTGCACCTGCCTCATTTGCTGCACTGGTGATGCACCCTCTGCTTCACACACCTCCATCCTCCTCCACCTTACCCTCCTGGCCTGCTGCCCTTCCCCCGCTCTCCTCCGCCTACCCGTCTCCCTTTGGCCCCCGAGCCTCCCCCGTGCGGCCCCTGCGTCCCTGCATCCAGGGCCTCCAGCTGGCTGATGAGTTCATTAGGCCCAGAGCTCTGCCAAGGAGCACGGCACTGTAAGGGCCAAACAGAGAGGCCATCAGGAGAGAGGGGGCCCTGGTGGTCGTTGGGCACGGTGCGTGCTCATTGGAGCTGAGACAGAAAAGTCACACGATGTCCAAGAGGACGATTTTTCTAGGCCTCATTGTCCATTCCCAGACTTGGACCCTGCACTGGGTGCAATAACAGTCTGACTCTCAGTCTGGATCTTCACCGGGACCAGGCCTGCTGGTTTTAAGGATCCAGGAGGGAAACAGATTTCTAATAATCCCCACGGGTCACAGTGACATCTGGCCTCACACTCCAGCCTTGGCTCAATTAATGCAGGAAAACACAAAACAACAAAAGTGCCAGGGGCAAAGATGTGGGGCATTTTAACAAACCACTTTGTCTGTGTGTGTATCAGTGTCTCTTCCTGCCAGTGTGTGTGTGTGTGTGTGTGTGTGTGTGTGTTTAACATATTGATCGAAGCATTTGAAGTCAATCGCACTGAAGTTTTATGTAAATTAAGTTGAAATATTTTGAAGCCGGGAGCAGGAATTAATGATCACATCTGAAAAGAAATGTGAGGGTGAAAAAAAATCAAGACTTTTTTTAACTCCCAGAAACGTCGTCTGTGGTTCCTTAGTTCACTAGAATCTTTGTTTGATACAATTTGTACTGGTTCACACCAACTAAGTCAGTTATATATTTTTTTATTTATTATATATTCATTATTTAAATGTATAAAATATATTTTTTATATTTTTATTCTACAGAATCACAAAGAATGAGTTTTTCCTCTTTATCAATAGAATCTGGACAAGTTGATGGTTTGGGAGTTTTTGGACGTTCTGGTGGTCGAGGTTTCAGGTTTTATGTCGTCGTGATGTCAAACTCTTTATTTACTAATAAGATCAAATGAAACGTCTTATTTGTTCCATTTTTACATCAAAGTCTAAGCACACAGCCAGGCACCTGTGTGAATACTGTCACACACACACACACACACACACACACCTTAACTGCAGCTGCACTCTCACCTTCTCCTTCCTCCCTTCCTTCCTCGCTCTCGTGGTTGGTTCAGCTGGGGTCAGGGCCTCGATGGCTGGGCTCAGGTGTAGCCTCAGCTGGACAAGAAAAGGAG